AAGGGCCTGGAAATTTATTTTAAGTCTGGGGACCCTTTTTCCTACTATTTTAGATATCCGAGAAATGTGCAAGCTAATATAAATTAAAATGTTCCCATAAAAAAATTAAAGAGAGAGAGAGAGGGAAAGAGATTTTAGCTCAACCACCAACCAAATCACAAGATATCCAAAGGAAATACAACAAAAGGTCCCAAGAAGGATAACCCATCTTACTGAAAACCGTAGATCATATTTAGACATGGATTAACGGAAAGCGGACAAAATCGATGATCCCCTAAGAAGGATAACCATATTAAAAAACTTCCCCAGGAGTCTACCTTAATCACAAGAAAACAAAGAATCTTTCAGAATAACAAAAACACACTGCATTTCCCTCATTTACAGATTGCACTTAAAAGAATCAATAAGGAGTTGTTAAAAAATATGTAGGGACCTGGAAGGAGAAACTTACAACAAATTAAGTGGATACTTTCAAAAGATGAAACTATTCATCCCACAAATTACTGGCTCAGAGAAAAGATAAAAAATACAACAGAACACACAAAGATTCGACTCCGGACGCTTTGTGTTTAATCTATGATTACAAAAGCAAATAATTGTTTCCTGTTAACTTCCCCCCAATCATGCTTCCAAGTTAAAATGCATCATAATGTATCAAAAAAGGAAAAAATAAATAAAAAAATGGTTCATTTAGATTTTTTGAATTCGCTAACGCTGATGATGGAAGCCTTCTTCTTGATATCGTACGTAACCTTGTCCAGATCAGCCACAGTCGCCAAATGACCATAATATACCCTCTTTCTCTCACCCGTCTTTGGGTCCATTTTCATGAGGTTCGGATTGTTCTCATCGCCCTTAGCATTTCCGAGTCCAGAGGGCTGCACGCGGGCCCACCCCTTTCGCCCGCGCTTTTCCCTCTCAAAATAATCAGACAGCTTTTGGGCTTCCTTCAGGCCCGACTCATCTGACGAGAACTTCACGATGTGCATGCCCATATGGCCTTCTTTCGAGTACAAGGAGATTGACTTGCCACTAGTGAATCCAAGCTCTAAAAAATTGATATAACGAGCACCAAAACCAAATCAAGAAGATTCAGTAGAGCCCAGATAAAACCAAAAACTCCATTTTATTTAAATTATTTTGGAAAGGAAATATGCAAACTGATTGTCATATTCGTAAAGGTAGTGGTGTAATTATACCCATATTTATTTTAGAATGCATATGAAGACACAAAATGTCTTGATCAGAGAGAAACAGACTATAATTAACCACTAATGAGTTTGAAGACGATGATAATATTATGGTCCAAGCACTCGTACTAATGTAAATAAAATAAGATTATCAAAACTGTAATCCACAAATTTGATGCCGGAATACAGTCTCCTCCAAATGATGATAATCTCCTCAATGATCAGATGGGACGAAAGCGAATCTAAATATCTAATTTTAAATAAATGCTCAAGGAGATTAAACACTTATGCTAGTGCTTCTTGTCAAATAGAGGCAAGGGTCAGAAGTCAGAAAGCATATATCATTACTGTTCACAAAATTGTCCCGTTAATGATAGGTGGTCAGCTTAATGGTTCTATATTTTCCTTCAATTAGCTGCAATTAAGTTCCGAGAAAGCTACTACTGATAAGGGAATAATCCATCTTACATCCAGTTGCAGTGTAGTTGCATGTGTGTTCATTCAACACACATTCATAATTTACCTTGACAAACAAAAAATAATAATAATAATAAAAACACTAGCACACAATTAACTTTGACAAGCAATAGGCAGCAAAACACGAGCAAATTATATGACCGTTATTGCAGTTCATGACATCTGCAACCATCCACATGCAACAGTGGCCAACATATAAAATTACAATCTTTATTAATTTTCTTTCTTCTGATTTTTTTTTCCCATTACCTAGGCAGAACCAAGGCTGGGATGATGATGGTGATTATTATTATATTTCTCCACCTGATAGAGCTAAAATACCGAATATAATTATTAATTAGTAGCCATGTAACATAAAGCTAACATTATGGGAACAACCGACTTATAGGCAGATCTGAGAGGATAATTGATTTGGCAAGATCTTAGGGAAATATCTGACATGGAAGATCTTACCATATTACTTACTAATTTAGGGACATAATTGATAATATTATAATATAAATAAAACAGATTGGGATGAACAGTAATTAGACAAAAGAAGAAAAAGCATTTTCTGCGTTCAGCCTTTTTGGCTTTGTTTGAGTAAAGAGCAGAAAATAGTGGACACGCATATATTTCCTTGTCGAGAAGAATTAACCAGATAATCTCCCCTAAGTACCAAGAGCATCACAAAATGCTATAGAACCACATAAAAACAAAGCACCACTATAAATCAAGGATAAAGAAAATGAGGGGGGTGTGTGAATACCTCTAAGAAAACTATCCATTCCCTTGTTCCCTATACCTTCCATACGGCCATCTCTACCTTTTCCCCATATAGTATTGTGAATCAAAACAGATGGAGGCCACATAATAAGGTCATCCTGGTTAACTTGTGCTCGTTCGGGAGAAAGGTTCTGATAGGCTCTCGAATTATCTGGAGGCATTGTATAATTCCAGCCCATCAGAATGCATAAGGCCTTGTGAAAGGCCAAGTGATCCACGAGCATGTCCGAATTTTCTGAGCTGTATGCATGCATGACAAGACTGTGTGTGTCTGCAAAGTCCCTTGAAGACCTGTATTTGCATGCCAAAACCGTGTCTTTTATGCAAAAAACTAGAAAATAGAGTGTCTGATTTGGAGCTATCTAATATATTTGTGTAGGTTACATTTCTAATTTCACTTTCCGGACAAAATATCGAATAATTATTTGTAAAAATGTTAACTGCAAGCGAGGATTGTGTTTGGTGCGTAAAGACCAAGCCGAAAGCCTGATTCATGTTGTATTGAACTTTAGCAGAGAATGTCCATATTTTAAACTAGAAAAGAATGGACTTAGACTGAAAAGAAGTCTAAGCACTGAGAACCACCAGTGAGAATATACTCCCTCTGTAATACTTCCTTGGTTGAACATACACTCCAGATTGCAATAACTCAGTTTGATTTCTATATGATAAACCCATTAAAGGTTGAGGCTAATAGTAAAGAATAGATATAATGAAGATAATAAGAATGCAGAGGCCACAAGATACGCCTATGAGGTCCCACCACAGTTAGCTCCAGAACTCGCCACAAGCGAGTTAAGACAAAAAAAAGAAAGAAAAATTTCAAATCAAGATCCAAAGTATTCACTTACTATAAGAAGTTAAAGAGTTATTGGTGCAAGTACAAACACGAGCTGATGTAAATCAGTTCACAAAGGAGAACAAAACGAGAAAGAAACAACTGCAGTTATATTCTGAACCATAGTTTTATCATCTTTGAAACACTAACAGGATAAATTTCAAAAGCATATATATATATATATATATATATATATATATATATAATGCCTTGTCTGACTTCTTGGTCAATGGCATCAGACAAAGCACTGCCCATATTCAGCTTCACCTTGTCAGTGTCATTCCATAGTCCAAATACCTTACAATTAAACTTTTTGTTTTTTCGCCCTACCTCTGATATGTTACATAAAATCTTCATATACAAAAAGTGAGATTTTCCTAAGAAGCAAACAAGAATAATCTTACAGTCGACAAAATAAGTCAAACAGGGCACTCATCTAGAGAGGAAAACTGATAAATTAACCAAACTTCAGTATTAGCAACATCCTAAATAAATATGCTCAAGCAAATGAAGGGTAGCCTGCTCCTACCTTCCCCCAAATCCTGTGTGACTCAAAGACGCATAACAAAAAGAGTTGGGAAAGAAATAATCAGCTCCTTTACTAGGGAGAAAAATAAAAGATAACAGTAGAAAACTAAGAAAAATATCAGAAATGATAACATTGAAAAACAACTTCCCAACAATTAACAATCTTCTACTAAGTTATTGATGTTTCGAAAGCAGTAGAAGTCGAGAACTATAAAAATATTTTTCAGATCATCCCCCAAAATGCTAGCTAGGCTGTCTAATAGTATTACGTGCATAATATTCAAGCTCTACGGCTGCAAAAACAGGTATTATTAATACCATTACTTGATAGCAGATGGTATGAGTGCACGAGATCCAAAGAGCTGAATGTCCCACACGCACTAGTGAGATATTAAGTATTCAGACAACCAAGATACTTCAATCACTATATATATATTTATTTATATAATATATATATTATATAGATATATTATATATAATCAATTGGATAAATTTACATGCAAAGAACAACAATGCTTTGCAGTTCACCAAGATGAAGAATCATCAAGAACAAATAATTCAGAACAAAGTCATCTACGAGTACCTAAATCTAATAGCTTAACACATAAAGTGCCAGCTTCCACCAAACAGAACAGATATCAAAACCCCATGTAGGAGAAAGAAAATATTAGGAGTAAATTTAACAAGGCTAAACGAACAGTCATTACAAACTCATCCATTTTGGATGGATTGCAATCTGCATAAGCAGCCTCTCAACCATAAAACTATAGCACAAGTCGCGAGAATATGTGTAAAGCCCACAACTAAACCATCTGAATAATTGAATGAACGACATTAGAAACAAGGCACGTTATGCCTTCAAGATGTGAAGGTGAGAGACCTCTGAAATTCAAAAGTAACAAACAGATCCTACTTTTGTACATCTGTGAGTCCTTTCCTACAAGATTTACCAATATCCGATATTGTATGGACTCTTATATGATGTTCCAGTAAACATGCATTGGAACATAAAGATCAAGCAACAAAATGACGTCTGCCACATTTCAGCATAAACTAATAGACGTTTCTACAAACCTACTGCTCAACTACATCAACATCTACGACCCATGCCTCCTCAGCACAATGAAATCTAAAGTCTAACTTCAAAAACCATGACCAAAAGCATCAAACATCTCACCCAACATGAAAAATAAGTACAAGACACAAAACATGGCCTCATAACACTTAAAATCATGCTATGAAAACATGATGGCTCACAGTTAACCATAAAAGATTTTATAACCCCATTACAAACATTTCTATATGGTTAGCCCGTAAAAACCCGCTGTTGCTTCATGTATTACTGCTTCTGTGCTGCATCATGGCCTCACACTTAGGAATGTAATAGGAGCATATTCAACTATACTTTTAAGAGAATTGATGGGATCAGCCTATGAAATAGAGCAAACCAAAAGAATATTTTGATCTTAAAGGCACAGCCGATCAGGGCAAGTCACCATAACTATTGATCCCAAAGTTCAGAATTACATTTTGTTGATGCCTCATTATCGGTTTCCTTACAGTCAAAAATACCATATCACTAAGATAAGTTATCCATACACAAAATTTGAGGCATCAAAATCAAACGATAACATAGCATACAGGATCTCCAGTATCACTATAAATTGCATACTTTTAATACCACATTCAGAATTGTAACCTTCCCACGGCATATAAGCTACTAATATGTTTTTCCCCAACGCAAGTTCACCACAGACCGTAGCAGCTCCATCTGCTAAGATTTGTCCCCTTTTAATGACTACATTTTTCCTATCCTCTTTTTTCTTTCTACAATGAGCCAAGCAAACAAAGAATCAAGGAAATTGTGATTCAATAAATATTTTTAGGAGAATAAATGGTTTTCGAAGTAAAGCCTGATGATAATGTGCATGTAAAAATGACATTATGCAGTGTATGTTTAAAAACAACAAAGAAATCATTGTGCCAGCAGTCAAATCAGAAAGACACAGAACTTTTGCATATTATAGATATAGGAACTGCTTCGTTACTTACTATCAGAAACAATTTCTGAATACCGCCCAGGATTTCAGTGCTTGCTGGGTATAAAAAAAAATGTGCGCACACATGTAAATACACACTAAGGGATGCAGCAAAAGAATATAGCAGAAAACTAAAATAACAATCTCTTAGCCAGTCTCGTTGCTAAGACAATTGCTCGTTGGGTATAAAACAAAACGTATGGACACATGTAAATACACACCACGGGAAGAGGCAAAACCAGACAGAAATTGACTATAAACAGCAAAGGAAATAAAGCATAAATCTAAAAGAACAAGCTTTCTTCAATTTTAGCAATAGATAATTATCAGACCTTCCACAAACTAAACATGGCACAGGTCCTTGTTTCCCATCTGCCAAATAATTCTTTCTCTGATTCCCAGTCTCAAACACCAACTTCACAAAATGCAGAAAAGCCTTCTTTAACAAATTCTGATCCACCTCACCATGCTTAATCTTACTCGAACTTCCTTCAAGAACCCGCATGTTCTTAGAGGCCCTAATTTCCTCGCCTCTCCCTAAATTATACCCAGCACTAAGGCCCGGCCCGTTTGCAATTCCATACTGCAACAGCTGTTGCCTCTGCCTCTCATACCCATCATCCCTCCCTTCCCTCTCACTCTCCCCAAACTTCCGCTTTAATGGATTCTCGAGGCCCGAATTCCAATACTCCAGATTCCGGGACATTGCATCTGGACCGGGAAACCCTGAGCTCATCGGTAAAGGGGGCCGTTCCAGCCCGAATTCACGACGGCCCATTAATTCGGGCCGTAAACCGGGCCGATGTGGTAATGCAAGGTTCTCATAATCCGGAGGCAAAGCGATGTAAGATCGCACGGATCCATCTGCTAGGACTATGCTCCGGCGGTCGAGCATGTGGAACCCGTAGGATGGGGGCGGGAGCGGATCGTTTATCGGGAAAACGGGCCTCGGCCCGGGTATAGCGTTCAGGTTTTCAGGCCTCGGGGATGGGTCCTCCGGCCGAGGCCTGGGCTTCGCGGGTGGGGGTTTATCGTTGGGATCTTTGTTGCTCGGGGCAGTCGCGTCGGCGAAGCTAGGGGAAGGTTTGGAAGTGGCGGAGGGTATATGGGCGGCTGCGGAGGCGGAGGAGGGGCCCCAGCCGGAGTTCCGGTGGTGGGTGTGGGTGGACAAGGAGGATGGAGGGGGCTTGGGAGGGTCGCCACCGGGCATGTTACGAATAAATCTAAAGCCAGAGCTAAAAATATTGAAGTGTTTTCAGCCGGCGAACAATTTATATTTGTTCGTCTGATTGATTGGTCGTTATAAAATATAGAAAAACATTTTCCCAGAACGTGGAAATGAATATCAGTAAATCCATCTTATTACATACGAGTAGACACCCGCGGGTTGTTTAAAAAGAGAAAAAATAAAGCATAAAATCATAATAAAAAAAAACATATGTTGTCATATAAATATGCGCAAATAAAAAATAAAAAGACGATAATATTATTTCAAATTCTAAAAAATTTCTTTATACACAACGTTAATAATTTTATTTATAATTTTTCAATCCTTATCGAACATAGAATTTTCAAATCTCTCCTGCTTTTAACTCTAGATATTGCAACATAAACGTTGAGCATGACTGAATATATGATTAGACAAATACAATTCAACGTTGGATAATGTTTGTCTTTAATCTTTATTATTCGTCATTGCAAAGTAAACCATAAATCTAATTGAAACTTGAATGACAATATGACATCAGAAAGACTCAATCACATATACGGAATAAGTATTTTTTTTATAGAACATTAGCTTCAACAAAAGTGGAGAGAAATTCTACTTTATTTATTTAATAAATTATGGATAGTGGCAATAAATCTTTATATATATATATATATATTACAATCATGGAATAATAGATTTTTTTATTTTTTTTATTTTATTTTGAATTGGAAGATGTATTCATTCTATCTTAATAAATCATGCCGCCTAATTAAACTTATATATAAACATGCCGAGCCTATATGTGTTTTTATTCATTCAATAATTAGTTGCTTTAGTTTCATATACATTGACTTTAAAATACTGAATTGTATTAAATAAATGTGGCTATATGTATATCATAATTATGGAATGATAGAAATTTTAAAGTTGTAATTATATATGGGGCTTTTCCTACAAAGTACCTAAACCCTTTTTCATATTCCATTTCAGTCCCCACACAAAAAAAATTCCTTTTCACTCCCTATTACACTAAATATCTTACAATAAACTCCCTATGTTTAAAAAAAATGATAAATAAAAGGGACACATCACACCACCATCTACCAACTTATTTTATCCAATTATTATATTAGTTCTAATCTTCTTCCACAATCCACTCCCTCATTCCTTTTCACTCCCTATTTCACTCCCGATTTTCACTCCCGATTTTCAGTTTTTTTTTTTTTTTTTTTTTTC